GGGCAGAGGCTGTTGAGAGGGCGGCAGAATTCCAGGGAGAATCCTAGCACGTCTCCCATCCCCCAATCCACAGCCACTCAAAGAAGCAAGGATGGTCTTCCAGGGTAGAACAACCCGTCCCTGCTCCCGAGCCCCTGGCTCCTGCCTGGCATGGCGTGGGCCGGCTTGCAGGACACCCCTGAAGAGCGGAGGTGACCGACAGGGAGCCTGGCCTTCAGCACTTCGCCTTCCGGAGGGGCAGCGGTGGGGCCCCAGCCTTGCCCCGTCCCTCCCCCAATTCTCCCTGCCCGAGACCCTACTCACCTTTGTATTTGAGGTGCTGCAGGATGGGGATTATGGTCTCCAGGGGGATGTTGTGGGCCAGGAAGAGCTGCCAGGCACAGTACTGCTCAAAGGTCTCCCAGTCCAGGCTCTGGACTGCAGGGGACAGAGAAAGGGGTGCGTTCTCTCTCTCATCAGCACACACACACACACACGGGGCTAATCCACAGACTACCAGCATCCCAAGCAGGGCTGGCACGCAGGTGAGGACAGTGACCCTGACGATGCAGTTACTCTCCCTTTCCACACAAAGTGTTACTTTCAAAGACTTCATATCGCTTCTGTATTCCCACAGCCTAAGCAAGAAACAGATCCAGAGACCCTGCCCAAGACCACACAGCAGGGCACAGTGGTGGTCCACCCCATCCACAGCCCCAGAGTCAGCTCCGCTGTTACTAGGAAATACCCAGGGCTGCCACGCCTCTCTCCCCCAGGTGTCTGAAGGGGTCTGCTCACTTACTGAGAATATTGAGGACTGAGTCCTTTCGAAACATAACCAGGTTCCCCATCATCACATGGCAGACCAGCTCCTGGAGCTAAGGACGGGGAGGAAGAAGGCAAAACCCATTGGTTCTAAAAGAGGCCAGGAAGCTAGTATGGAGGGAGAAGCAGGAGGCCTCACACAGGGAAAAACCAGGGGAAATGAAAGCCTAGTTTAAAGGGCTGAGGATGAAATGATGGATGCTGGGGTATCTGAAGGATAAAGGGGCTGGTAAAGAGCAATAGGCCTGTTTGGAGGCAAAACATTAAAAACCAAACACACCAACCAACCAACCATTAAAGTGGTTTCCACGCCCAGATAACAGAGGGAGAAGGGCAACTTGTCTCCCTGGCTCGAGTCTGGGCCTGAGGCTGTGCCTGGGGAGGAGGGAAGGGCTGGGAGGCAGAACTGTGGGACAGAGTGTAGCTAGGAGAAAGGCAAAGAAAGAAGGGCTCTTCTCTCCTGAATGGGGCAAGTGAGTGGCGACGAGGGGCAGAAATGGACCCGAGCTCAGTATGAGAACGCATTAGCAAAGCTGCAGTCTCCCGGGGTCTGTGCACAGTGGAAGGCCAACGGCCTGATTATTTTCACCCTGCGCCAAGGGGGAAGGCCAGCTGAGAGCGAAGAAACAAACCAACCAACAAACAAAAAACACCACCTTCTCACTTTCCTTGTGGAACTGGAGTGTCCAGATAATACAGAGAATGAGCCCAGCCTGCCTCCCAGGGGGTCCCCTTCCCTGCTAGCCCCCCTGGCCTGAAGTGCACACAGGTGCAAGCCAAGGCCTTGGCTCCCGTCAGCTGGCTTCCCACGATGAGAGCTCCTTGTGCACCTGTGCAGAGTCAATAACAGCCACGATCATGTTCAGCAGCTCGCCGCTCCGCAAGGTCTCATCTGGAAACTGGACAGAAAAAGACAGAAGCTGGGGCAAGAGTCCAGGGTGCCCCTGTGGGCTTGTACCTCATAATCCACCCCCTCTCTTCCCGCATGCTCAGGGGATGGCAGGGTTAAGCAGGATGGTGGGGTCGTAACACGAGTCCCTAAACAAAGATCCAACAGCTGTGAAGCCAGGACTCTAACCCTTTAAGAACTGAAATTTGTTCTCTTTGTGTGTGTGTGTGTGTGTGTGTGTGTGTGTGTGTGTGTGTGTGAGGGAACCATCTAGAGATGAAACCAGAACCTGAAAGGACTGGACGTGACGGTGAGTGCCGAGCTGCAGCGGTGACAAAATAAACGTTCCTGTCTGGCAATAAACACAAACCCGCTCTATGCTAGCCCTCAGGCACAGAAGGGAAGGTGCGGAGTGTGTTTGGGGTGTACGAGGGGCAGGAGGCTTCCCTTCTTGAGAGGCAGCAGAGGAGGAAACTGCCGCGTGCTGGTCATGCCCCCTTCTTCCGCCCCTGCAGCTTCTGGGGAGATCACAGTTCCTCCTGTTGCGCCCACACCCTGTTTCCTGATGTCCCTGTGCCTGGGAACTTCACCCAGAGGAGGAAGAGAGGGTACCTCCTCCGATGTCCCAGTTTCTAGAGAAGACAGTGAGTGAACAAGGAAACGCAAGTCTCCACCACAAAGGCTGTGGTCTTTGGGAGCCACTAGAGAGAAACTGAGGGTGAGCCATCAGATGGCAGGAGGGCCTGTAGTGCGTGAGTGTGGCTGCGGCTGGGGGACCTCTGCTGGGTCCAGAGGGTGTGGCCGGAGCTGGGAAGCCAAGTGTACAGGCCCAGACCACATCTCACACCACAAGGCACAGAACAGGAGACGTTTTGTAACTTTTAACAGAGGGGGGCCCATCGAGCCGGCAGGGGTGGGTGAAGTAGGGTCAGGGTCGTATGCAATGAGGCACATGGTGTTGTGAGCCTGCCCTGCGCAGCCGCGCCCGGAGCCCGGCAGACACTGACCTCTGTGTAGATGGAGGGCGTGAGGTGGCACAGCAGCCGCACGTCGTCCTCCTGACAGGCCTTCATGTCCATCATCAGGCAGGTGTGCAGGTCGCCCAGCTGGGTGGCCTGGGCAAAGGACTCATACAGGTTCATCTTCCCAGCAGCGGCTTTGCTGCAAGACCAGTTGGGCCTGAGCCAGCAGCCCGTCCCCTCAGTCGCCCCCCCCCACCCCGCCCCGGAACCCCTCTGCTGCCCCTGATGCTCTGGGCAAGTCTGTCTCGTGGTCCTCTCCTGCCTTCCTCAGTGCTCCCGACAGGGCACTGACCACACACAGTGAAGCTGCCAACTGGTGACCGTCGAACACAGGACAGGGCTCACATCAGGCCAGAAAGCCGAGCAATGAAGGCAGGAACACAGGCAGGCCCCCACCTCACATCACACACGAGCAATTGAGAAGAGGTTACAGGCCTGAACATAAGAACTGAAAACCACAGTCTTGGAAGAAAACACAGGAGTAAATCTGCAAGATACCACAAGCCCAAGTGACAGAAGAAAAAATAAACACGACTCAACAACACGTAAAACTTCTGTGTCTCAACGGGTGCCATCAAGGGAGTGAAAAGACAACCTGCAGAATGAGAACATATTTGCAAACCAGATGTTTCATAAGGGACTCATATCCATAGCATTAAAAAACAAAAACAAAAAAACCCCCCAAAAAACAAAAACTCTTTAAAAAATCAACAATAAACAGACGAATAACTCAATTAAAAAAATAGGAGAGGAAGGGACACCCGGGTGGCTCACTCAGTTAAGCATCCTACTTGGCTCAGGCTCAGTTTGTGAGTTCAGGCCCCATATCGAGCTCTCTGCTCTCCACACACAGTCTGCTTAGGATCCTCTGTCTCTCTTCCTCTCTCTCTGCCCCTCCCCCACTCATGCTTGCTCGCTCTCTCTCTCTCTCAAAAATAAACATTAAAAAAAAAATGGGAGAGGATCTGAAGAGACATTTCTCCAAAAAAAATATGCAAATGGCTAATAACAAGCACACAAAAAGATGCTCAGCATCATCAACCATCAGGAAAATGCAAATCAGAACCACAACAAGACATCACTTCACACCCATCAGGACAGCTGTCATCAAAAAGCCAGATAATAACAAGTATTGGGGTGCACGTGAAACACTGGAACCCGGTTGCTGTCAGGCAATTCCTCACAAATTTAAAATTAGGGGTGGCGTTTGACCCACAGTTCCACTCTTGTACTCCGGGAAACTGAAAACACATGTCTAGGTAAAAATGTGTCCGTGAATGCTCAGAGCGTCTCTATTCACAACAGACAAAAAGGCAGAAACAAACCAACGTCCACCGACAGGTGAGTGGACAGACCGTGGTGTGTCTATGCAGAGGAACAGTATTTGGTCACAAACAGAAATGAAGTACCAATCCGTGCTACGAAGGGGATAACCCTCCAAAACGTTACACTAAGTGAAAAAAGCCAGTCACGAAAAATCACACGTTGTAGGATTCCATTTATAAGAAATACACAGAAAAAGTAAATCTATGAAGACAAAGAGCAGAGCAGTGATCAACAGGGGTGAGGCGAAAGGGACAACGGGAAGGTAACCGCTAAGTGGGACACACGTTTGTCTTGGGGGTGACGAAAATGTTCTAAAGTAACCAGTAGCAATAATTTGTACGACTTTGCAAATACACTTAAACCCACGGAATGATGTGCTTTAAAGCCGTCATCAGAGAACACCCGAACACCCAGGAGGCCCCGGTGAGGACAGCTGCGGCGGGGAGTCCGCGTGCCCGGGGAGGCCCCTACCCACCTGGCCCTCAGGTAGTACAGCAGGTGATAGCCAATCTTGGGCTGTTTCTGATACAGCTCGGACAGGAGGTCCAGAAGCAGAGAGAAGCTGCTGTTGTCCTCCTGCATCTGGCACAGGTTCCTGGACGTGACAGACGGGAGGGAAGGACAGAACTTGACGTGGGGCAGACTCTCCTGTGGAGCTTCTGGAGAGGCGTGTCTGTGCCCCCTGCAAACCCCTTCCTTCTGGAAAGGGAGACCCATTACCCCAGGACAGAGGCATATGCCTGGTGAAGAGGGATGACGGCACGGCAGTGCCCCCGACGGCTGGGTCCTTACCTAAATATTAGGTAGAGAGGCTTTCCCACAGACTCCTCCAGGGACCTGCAGGAGGGGGGTGACATCTAAGGGTCCACGCGAGTGGAGAAGGTGGGCTGCAGGCAGATGTTACGGAGGCTGGATGCCAGCCCGCTCCTGTCCTGACCAAAGGTTAACTTCCTACTGCTACAGAGAAAACAGGTTCCTAACAAGCACCACAGTCTGCGTTGTGACTGTCATTGAAAATGTGATTTCTGGGGCACCTGAGTGGCTCAGGTCGTGATCTCACAGTTTGTGGGTTCAAGCCCTGCATTGGGCTCACTGCTGTCCCCCTCTCTCTGCCCCTCCCTGGTTTGTGCTCTCTCTCGGATATAAATGAACATAAGAAAGGAAAAAAAAAAAAAAAAAGAGAGAGATTCCTGCCCTTCAGGGAAGACCCAGGCAAGGGTCCAATCCCACCTAGAGCAGCAAGGGCTGGGGCCCCTGGGCTCAGTAGCAGCAGCAGGGCACCCAGGAAAAGGCGCTAGAGGCCACTGGCCCGTGCTCTGCATTCAGCAGGCAAAAAGAAATCCTGAAGTGAACGGGCACACGTTGAGACTAAAAATAAGTGAAGAGAGGGACGTTTGGCTGACTTGGTCGGGAGAGCACGACTCTTGGGCTTGGGGTTTTAAGTTTGAGCCCCACACGGGTGTAGAGATTACTTGAAAATAAAATTTAAAAACAAACAAACAAAACAAGTGAAGAGATGGTTTCCCTCAAGTCCACAGCAAGATGCCTCCTGGACTGGGGCTCCAAGAGCACACTTCTGGCTCCCAGAAGCCTGTGGGTGGTGGAGGGGTCAGGAGAGAGATGCCTTACTCCTCAGTGATCTCCTCAGGCAACACCTCCCCTCGGAAGTGGGCTTTGAAGAGTTCCTGCAGGCAGGAAGCAAGGACGGACAACTGCTCCGAGTCAAAGTCTTCCTGGGTGGGGACAGAGGGGGAAGATTCTCACCGCCTGACCCAAGCCTTACTGCCCCACCACCCAGAGCCACTGCAGTCATCTGCTGCTACCTCCAGGACCAACAGGCCCTTGCCCACCAGAGGGACCCGTGTGGGAGACAGGAAGGAAAGAGTCAGATGTTTGGGTGGGGAGTTCTACTCTGGGCGGGCTGGGCTGCTTCCTCCTTGGCCGGGGGGGGGGGGGGGGGGCGGTTCTCCTCACCTCCAGAACCTGGTCCACGATTTCCTGCATGACCTCACACTGGGCCTCGGTGTCACTGCAGTGCGGGATGGAGAGGAAATCGCAGGGACATACATGACAGCAGAGGGCAGGGCACACACCCAGCAAAGCACACTCACATACAGACAAAACAAAGGAGGCCTGTGTGAATCCAGGCTTGGGTGGGGGCAGGCTTTAGGGCAAAATTTGCTGCTGTCCAGGCAGAGGCCCTAAGAGAAGGGAAATGCCCACCATCCTGCTTTGGTGCTCAGAGGCTCTTGTCCCTGGAACCTGTGGAGTTGGGGTGCCTGGGGGGCTCAGTTGGTTAAGGATCCAACTTCGACTCAGGTCATGATCTCACAGTTTGTGGGTTCGAGCCCCGTGTTGGGCTCTGTGCTGACCGCTCAGAGCCTGGAGCCTGCTTCGGATTCTGTCTCCCTCTCCCTCTGCCCCTCCCCCACTTGCGCGCGCTCTCTCTCTCTCTCTCTCTCTCTCTCTCTCTCTCTCTCTCAAAAATAAATAAACATTAAAAAAATTTAAAAAAACAAAAACAAAACCATGGAGCGAGAAACAGGTGCTGGGGAACGAGGAACCTCACAACCTAACAGCAGAAGGCACACCCCCGGAGCCCCCACTGCCCCCACCCCACGCCCGGGCACCCCACTCAGTACCAGGGGGGAGGCTGGGGCTCAGCCTCCCGAGCCTGAGGACAGGACCTGCACCCACCTCCCCTTCTGGAGCTGGAGCACTTTGTCCCTTAAGGACTCATCCAGTTGGTCAAGATACGGGGTGATATCCACTGGCTCCTCCACGACAGTCTCCTTGATAGGATGGAAGCGGAACTCCCTCTTCTTTCCTGGAGGGAGGAATTCACGAAAGCAGCCATTTGCCCAGACACCAGCCACAGGGACAGCCCCACACGCCGGGTGTGCAGGGGGCCCGCAGCGTCGCTCCCTGCATGTGGGCACACCCAGGCTCCGGAGCAAACAAGGGCAGGGCTCCGTGCCCTGGAGTCCCGTCTGGTAACCCTGCTAACACAACTAACCTGGGGGCCAAGTCCACAGAGGCCAGGCCGCTCCTGCCACCTGGTCCCCTCGGGGCCGACACCACCCAAGCCCCTTCGCTGTTGCACGCACCTCTGCTGCTGAGGTCCTCCTCGTCGTCACTGAAGGCCGCCTCCGCGTTGTCGTAGCAACCCTCATCCTTGTCTGACATGTGGTTGTCCATTTCCACGGAAACCGGCTCCTCAAGTTTGACTTGGGAGGAAAGAAACAAGGCATCCTGTGACCTAACGTGGCTGACACCCTGGAAAGGGGAGGCCGGGGAGCAGGTGGGCTTACAGGGAGTTCATGACCTGAGGGCATGACAGACCCTGGAAGGACACCCTCGTGTCCCCACGACCTTCCACGATGTGCAGGGGTTTCTGCCAGGAGCAAGAACGGCAAGGGAAGAGACTGCTGTGCTTAGCTCGTGTTGGCAAATAGGTGAGACCAGGGACAGTCCCAAGGGCTCTTTGCTTCAAAACCGAGTTGAGAAGCTCTGCTTGGCTTCAGCCTCACCCCCAAACACAAAAGGGTGTGTGCGTGTGTAACTGGGAGCAAGACCTGAGACCCAACATGACCCCTCGCCTCAGGGGCCGGGGCGCAGAGAGAGGGGAGGCAGACACACATCCCACCAAAGCCTTCCCTGTGGAGGGGGAGGGGAGGCTATTTAGTAAGAGAAGAAACAGGCGCTGAGGAGCAAGAGAGGTCAGCAAGAGTCAGGGAGGATGAGACAGACGGAGAGCCAGAGAAGACAACACATAAACACATCAAAAGAGAAAGTGGGGAAGGAGAACCTGAACCGGACAGTCACAGAGGTGGAGACCCGCACTGGGGAGACACCCTAGATGGCTGAGAGCCCTGGGCATCTCTAACAGGTGACGGAAGGGAGGGTTCCATACCTTCCACAGGAGGGCTGGGTGAGCTGCAGAACTCAGGGAACTTCTCCCTCAGCATTGCCCGCAGTTCCTTATCCAACTTGGGGTTGTCGAACAGGGGAGCCAGATGCCTGGTGGGGGGGGGGGGGCGGGGGACACGAATGAAGGTCCACATTGCAGCTCCTCACTTCTAACGCGGCGTGCACTTAGAGAGAGAGGTCTATGACCAACCAGTAAAGCTGGGCCATACTCAGAGCCTTGGGATAGGATGGGAAGACAGAAATTTCTCTAAGAGTCAAGAGGACATATTCCTAGCAGTCTGAGGTGGAGCCGGTACGCTCTATAACAGTCAAGAGAAAAGGCTCAGCAGTGGTCTGACACTTTCTGAATGTGCCTGGCTTAGGGACACAAGAGAAAACAACCCTTCCTCCCACCTGCCTATGGGCACATGAAGTTCTTACGCCAAGACCCGTTTCTCCACAATGTGGTTGAGGGAGGAGAAGACACCCTGTCGCACGTGGCCCTCCAAAGGTGGATAGAAGTTGGGAATGATCTGGAAGGGAAGGGAGGGGAGAATGAGCACATGACTTGCCATCCAGAGTGTTCTGCTGAACCAGATCTAAAAAGCTGCTTCAGTTTTGATCAGAAGACACTGGGGAGTATGACTACAGAAAGGTCTGGAATGGTCCTGACCATTCCAAGCTGCTACAATGGTTAATTCTTACTAGACCTGGCCTCAGAGAGACCAGATTCTACCTTAAGTCATTATCCTTGAAGTCGAGAAAGCCCATGGAGACATGGAAAGATCCCACAGGAGATGGCGGAAATAGGGAAGGGGAGTGTTCACTGACTTGGGGGCAGGACCTATGATTACAGCTGCTCCCACAATGAAGGGCACTAGGAAAACCTATTAGGTGAAGGGGACACACACTTACACGGCACATGAAGTCCAGGAGTGTGGCAGTAATGGCTGGGTGTGGCTTCATGGAGTGGTGCATGACCAGGATGGCTGGTTCTGGAGAAGGGAGAATTAAAGGGTCCCCACTTCAGGTAGTCTGTCCCCAATTCCATGAAACAAGGCATCAAAATACAGGAATAGTTCCAGAGAGCTGTAGCCCTACCCCCTATTCCCATTGAGCAGACCCAAAAGCAGACAACCCCAAACAGCTCCTAGCCCTCATCTCCCTTGTCCAGCATCCGGCTTAGAAGAAGGAGGTGGTGGGAGAGGAAAAGCAGGGTGCGGCACAGCCCTCTGCCTAGGCCACTCCACCAGAGCCCCAAGCATAAGGCTCTTGGGCAAAAGAGAGGGAGTGAGTGCTTGGCCTCACAAAAGCAATCTTCCTTCTACATCAAGGGCGCACTGGTGAGGAACAATCAAACTGCTCCCAGATAAGCTGTCTCCCCCGACGCCGCCCTGAGGTTTATGACCACCGTCACCGAGACTAGGCAGTGGCCTGGGAGATGGGGGTGGTGTTGCCTGCTCCCAGTCACATACCTATGTTCATGATGCTATCCTTGTCTGGGCTAAAGAACAGCCAGTCGTAAAACAAAGCCAGCTTGGCATTGGAGGCAGCGACATTTGACTGGAAGAGAGAGGTGAGAAAGAAGGGCTGGTTTCATCAAACAGCTCCCTTTCCTGCACAAGCGCAAGGCAGCCTCCAGGGTTCACGTGGCTGTGCATCTAAGAAATAAATTCAGTTCCTAGTGAGACAGACAGAAGCCTCCAGGGGTGAGGGGCACCCAAGTCTGCATACGAATGAGACTGGCCATGGTCTCACCGACCAAGGGGCCAGGGATTGGCCTGGGTTCCCGTTCGTTTGTCCAGAAGAACACATCCCTGCTCCTAGAAAAGGAGAACGGGGCCTAGCTGACACAGCACTCAGACCAGGGCCTAGGCTGCCCCTCCTGGGCTCCTGGGGCACATTCCCGGCTGAGGGACCCCTAGGAACAGCCTGTGATTGTGTCTGAATCAGCACATTCCGAGGACCCAGTCAACAGGGGGAGGAGAACTCTGTTGGAAAAGGTCAGAAGGTAGAAGCCAGAGAGCAGACAGTTTGGAGCTTCCCTACCTAAGGAACAGATAGGAACATGCTGAGAAAGAAATGGCTCCCCTGGTTTGCACAAGTATCCAAAGCTGATGCCAAAAGCCTAGGAAGTGAGG